TCCTGAAATATCCACTCAAGGCTTGAAATTCTCGAGAACGCCCCGTTAGAATCTTTACATTAAATGTTAGCATCCCACTCTGACAATTATGGCGGAGGAGATGGCAACTGCATGAAAACATGACTTTCTGGTGCCTGAACTTAAGCTTTTTTCTGTTGAGTCAAATTCTATTCACTTATTAATTGAGATATTGTTTCATACATCCAAGTTATTGTGTTCCTTCCCTTGTATTGTTGGATTCTTGGCCATGAGCAGTAAGCCATATCTAATACTGGATGATGTAGTGTCTGTTCCAGCAGAAAACAGGTTACTAACAGTCACCAGCAGGTTGTCATCATGGTAGTGAGAATTCATATTCCCAGATTCCTTACAAGCAATAAAGATAAAAATAATATGCTTATCATAAAAACAATCACTTTTGAAATGGCTAGTCAGCTTATAAGACGCATGGGTTTTAACTTCATCTGTGGCTAATATAGACAGGCACATATGTAGCCCTTGTCACTTACAAGCACTTCCTTGTTGCCGTGGGTGATTCACTCCCACAAGTGTAATACCTCCTTGTTTATATAATTACCTCAAATCCAACAGTTAAAGTCTCTGACAGATAATACTTGTGAAGGACTTTTCCTTATTTGATGCACGGTTGAAACATGACACAGCTTTGGGATGCACAGTTTGTTGTCACACACTGAAGTGAACATTCTCCATTGGCAGACAATGTTGGAGATAAAGTCTAAAAATACAGAAATTTGTTAGCAAAGGGCGTGACTGACAGTGTGATAAGTGTATATCATATGTTAATGTGTTGATGTGTATGGTGAGTGGGGGTGGGGGGGGAATGAAAACATTTTCATCTGCCAAAAGGTGGCCCAGTAAGAACCCTTGCATGTACACTTGTTCTGGTTAACTGTTTTTTCTTTGGCCAAGCTTCATTCAAAGCTTCTTTGTAAGGCATCCAGGTCTCCTAAAGCTTTTCTCTGATTTCTATCACAACACATGACCATACAGGCATACAGATATGTATGTCTGAACATGTAAAGGCCGTACAGTGTTCTTGTCTGTAATAAAAAAAACGTTGCATAATCGAATGGGACTTAAAAATGCATGCGATTGTTTGGCTCATCAGCACTGGGTACAAAGTCACTTTGAAATGTTAGTCTTTAGTATTTAATGCACAGTATCCATGCACTGCCTGATTTGTGCAGATTATGAAGTTTGAGAACCATCAAAAATGGTAACCACCTTGATTTTTTCTATAACCCTGTTCACTTTAACAAAATACTTTTTCTGTCTTACAATTTGCCATTTCAAGTTAGTCCCAGAAAACAGATAATGATTGGGAGATGGGTTTAGCTTTGTAACATAGGAACCTTCAGTAAAACCAGCATTAGTAGTAACCAATTTTATCAATACAATTTAAGAAGGTCAATCTTTTCTTGTGTACCTCAAGCTGGATCTTGCGGGCCAGAAAGGAATCCACTACACCCCTGCACATCCCTGGATTAAGGGTGTCCTGTAAATCCTTGATTAATGTTTTCATATTGCTCAGATTGACAAACGCACTCTGCACAAGTTGCTTTCGCACTCCCAGCCAGCTGAACAGCCTTGGAAAGAAGTTGTATAACTGTTGGAAAAATAACCACATTTAACCATCAAATGTATATCAGGTTTATAACTGGTGATTGATTTGGCACTTATCACTGTGACCTGTATGAGAGGGTTGGTTGGCCTTCTCTTGAAGAGAGGCGCAAAAAAAACACTGGATTTTAAATATTTTTAAGGCTCTTATTGGTAAACTTCCACCTTACATTACAGACCTGTTGGAATGGAATACAGGTACCTACATGACCCGTTCGTCTGATTGGCTTGTTTTTAAAGTCCCTCGAGCTTTTACTGAACTCGGTAAATCAGCATTTTCTTTTGATGCCCCAAACTCTTGGAACGCCCTCCAGCAAACTCTAAGGATGAAATATCTGCAGCTTTATTTCATTCTATCAAAATCTCATACCCTTTTCTCTGTTTACTCCTTCTCCCTGCACTTCCCCTTATGGCAGACAATAGCATTCATTTTTATTTACACCAATTAACCTGACCCAAATGAGGTTGAACTGTAGTAAATTGTCCTGCTATCAGGTTAAATTGCTCACATACTGTATCTTACCTGCTAGCAGGACAATTAAAGCTGCCCATAAAATTGCCCGGCTCTATTCTGCCCCATTCTATAATCTTTAGTCTGTTTATGACTCCTGCTCTCATGTACACTGTGTACTGTACCTGCATTGAAGGACAACCCAATGGTTTAGAGTTTTGAGTAGCTCTCTCCACCATGGATGTGAAAATCGGGTCATCATATTCAAATCTGTTTCCATACACAATAGAGCAGATGATGTTGGAGACAGAATTGTTTACTGGCTGGGCTGGGTCAAAGCCTTTACCTGAGAAATAAATCAATCATTGCACTCATCTCAACTGATGTATCACTGTTAAGATAAATGTGATTTTTCTCGAATAAGTACACATTCATTTACATATATAATGATTTAAGCAAAAAAAACTATAACGGGACTTCTTTTTTAGTAGCAACCAACAAGAATATTAAAACATGAACAGACACATACATTTTTTATTTATTTTTACCCCTCACCATGTGTTAATTTAAGATCTTGTATAATTTGAGGAACCTCTGTCTCTGAAAATGCATCATGGTGGACAAGAGCCTGCTTGATCGTCTTGTGCCCCGCAAACACCACCACAAGTGGAATGTAAATACTGGTCCATACTTCTTTGAAAGCTGATATAAAAGCCATAACAAAAAAAAAGAAAAATGTATAAAAAGTCAGACCAACTTTTACGTAAAATATGCTGAATCAATAACAAATTATCACCTCATTCAGTGTTGGGATTTATGATCCAGTAGCAACCAATTGCCTATTACAGGCAGTGGCCAGGGCCCCAGAGGCTCCTTAATTTGACGATTGGCAAAACTGGAAAATAACACGTAAAAGACAAGCAGGACTCCAACAGTGCACAACACAGTGATTGTATCTGGGGACTGCAGAAAAAGGCTTTCCATTACAGCTACACTTCAGTGTTAAAATCAAATGAGTCTAAAAAAGTCAGGCAGTACTGGTGTTTCCAATTCCAATGTGCAGCGTGAGTATTAGCATGAGCTATCACATTCAGCTAATCTATTTCCGTCCAGTTTGAAGGTGTGAAACAACAGAACTGAAGGAGGGAGAAGGGTTCCTATTTAACTGTGTCTCTGAGACGCACCCTGCAACCTGCAATAGATATAAGTCAAGTAATGTACTTTTACAACTGCTTTTCATAATGAACTGCAAAAAAAAGTATATAGCCTTACTCAGCAATGATTGACATCAGTATAAAATACCCAGTTGTTTTCAATCCCTAAAAGAATGCTGCCTCCACTTTACACCCAGGCTCATCTAATCCTTATTCCAGGTCCAAGAAGAAGTACTTCTGGTATATATTTTCTTTTGGTCCAACAGGAAACCAAAAGAAGAGTTTCCTTTTTTCATCCATGCATTCATTCTGTTTCTCCCTGTTACCAATGATTTAGTGAGCAAGTATTCAACTAGAAAGGGCCCTGTTAATATTTTACCAATTGTTAGAGTTTAATTACCCACAGATTGACCATGCCAAGTGACCAATTGACCAAGTGTATTTTAAATCTGTAGTTGTCAAATCTAATCTCAAAGTAATCATGGTTTGAGTTTTGTAGTCCATCACTATCATTTTGAATTGATGCAACCATTGCTACACCTCTTAATGCTGTCTTCCACAACTTTCCAAATTCAAAGGCTTTCTCATATCACTGATATGCTGATGATATTCAGCTGTATGTCATATAAGCCTTATGGCACTAACAGCCTATGCTCTGTAGCTTGTTAATGATTTTGTGAGCTCATGTCCTCAACATGAGGACTATAGCACTCCTGACTTGAATAACGTAAGCATTTTGTTAGTACTCTAAAATGACCCTGACGTTCAGGACAGGGTGTCTCTCCTCTGCTACTCATTCTTGATGAGCTTAATCATTTCTACAGAATTGGCTAATTTAACCTCTGCGACTCAAATAAATGCCAATCCAATAACTAACTGGCTAAATGAATACAATCAAAAGCTTCATCTTAATTAACCATAATTCTACAATCTTGTCCAGCCATACCACTACTTATGTGAGCCCAAAATGTGTGAAGACCTATCGATACTTTAAGAGCTGCAATCTCATCCATCTTGCATTATTTAAAGAATGACACAATATGACATTTTTTGTATTCCCATTTGTCCGTCCCTTGTGCATGTGGCAAGACATGAACTTATCAAATGACATGACTCTCACTACTTTTTCTTCTGATCAGCCTGCAGCAAATCGTAAAACATGGCCTTGATCCCAGACACTCCTATCTTTGATAACAAATGTTAGAGAAATACAAGTAGGATCCCAACAGTCCCTTGGTGGTACTGGGGGGTGCGGCTGAGAAGTGTGTTTCCTTATTATAGCTACATTTTCAATTGTCAAAATAACGATAACAAAGTCAATACAATAATTATGTCATTCTTCTTAGTGCATGTGTTGTAAGTCGTTTAAGGATTAAGTCAGGTGAACGAGTGAAAAAAACACTGATTGCCCTTTGTTACAGTTGTCTTTATTTCTGTGTGTAAAGGTTTTGGTTCATGTGAAAGACATTTTTTTAACACAACAAAGAAAAGATTTCCATTCCATAGCTGTTTACATGGGGGGATAAAGAAACACATGATCAAACAAAGTAATAGCCTGCCAAGCAAGTTAATAAATGATGAAATGTTCAGTCCGTGAGGGAAAGTTAAACAATACAGATTTATGTCACATGCCGATCCGTCTCAATATGTGTAGCTTTCCAAAAAACATAAAAATAAAGGAAAAATATGATAATCAAAACACAGCCAAGTTATGATTCTATACTGTGATTGTATTGATGCCTGTGTAAGTCTACTTTAAGCACCTTTTTTACTTCCAAAGGCCCCGCCATAACCCTTCTACGTTCATCCATTAGATGCCCTCAGATCCTCTGCAGCCAGTTTGGGATATATTAACCTTTTAAACAGGCTTTGCTATTGGTCGCAAAAACCATTGAAATGTAAAAGTCGAAAAGGTACTGTTTGAAATATGGGATTGTTCTCAGACGAGTATACTCACCTCCGTTATTGATCACACAGAGGCTTTACTTCTCAGCTTTGACTGAAGCCTCACGTTGCCTCATCCTCATGAGAAACCTCAGTCACAGCCAGCATCACTTTAAAAAACAAAGATGTCAACCTTGTTTATTTTATCTCCAAATTGTAGTGAACTGACTGAGACTGTAAAAAATTATAATTCAATGTTTCAGTTTCTACCCACTGAAATTGAATTGAATCAACTGCATACATTAACTATGACCAACAATCCAAAAGCTAATTGTGTGTGTGGTCGCGCGTGTTAAAAGTAATATGATAATAATATAATAATATTACAATACGAAGAATATGGATAATTTAGACTATAATAAAGAGTAAGGTGACAACTGGTGGTGACAAGATGACTGACCCTTCATATAATATCAGTTGTGTTCATTTTTCTGCTAACCCAGTCAATCAAATCTAGTAGTTAATACTTGGAGTATCTAAACAGAATCAATTGCAATATTGGACAAATTCTTAGAATATAATTTTTTGCCAGTGAAAATTATAAAGTATGATATTTTTATATTCAAAGATAATTTATTAAATATGATCCATCGAATCAAAGTTTGAATGAGAACAAGGGTCGTGTCATCCGCAAACATTATTGGAGAAAGAACATGCGACTTATTAAACAAATTATTAATATAGATAAGAAATAATGCAATCCTTAACAGAAACAAACTGGCTTCTGTTGAGAAGATCATTTTTTACCCATTTGTGAGTAACATCATGAAAACCACGTTAAAAATGGTTTTCAATAACACATGTAAATCAACTGTATCCAAAAGCTTTTGAAAAGTGTAAATAGATACTGAAAGTAAATTTATGATCGTCAAGTGCAAATGTACAGTAGTTTCGTCAATGAGATGAAACAAAGCCATATAGGCGGAATGATTTTTCCTTATGCCTTGTTGGTAAGGAATAGAATTTGAATCAAGCTGAAAGAGAATTATTTGAGATGAGAAGAAACGTTTGAAAATGCTTGTTTTTTAAAAGGGGGTTGGATGGATAATATTTAATGTGTTTCAGGTAGTCTAGGAATCTAACTGCTGATTGGCATTCAAGATATAGCCAATCAGCATTGCGATAAATGATAAGATAACACATTTTTAGAATCCCTCTCTGCTGACAGCACAAAGCTGATGAGGTATAGGGTTGACAATGAAGCCAACACCTGGACTCAGATCCAGTTCGTCCTCTGTAACTCCAGGTGGAGGAGTAAGGCGGAATCGCTGGAGGAGGGAAGTAAAGAAAAGGAAGAGCTCCATTTTAGCCAAACCTTCTCCAAGACACATCCTGCGACCTAAAGACAGAAGAGATTTGCAAGGATTCAAACTGGATCATGCTGTGTTAAATATTGTTGTAAACCCAAACTACAGAAACTTTGCAGAGAATGCTACCTGCAGAAAATGGCATGAAGGCATCAGGCTTGAAGAATTTACCCTCCTCATCCAGAAAGTGGGAAGGGTTGAAAGTATAGGGGCTCTCCCATTCACTCTCATCATATAGAACAGATGTAAGCAGAGGAAACACAATAGTCCCCTGTAGGCAAAAGCAGATCCACCATATAAAATCTCAAAAATCAAATCCTATTTTCAAGAGATGTTTCAAGAGATGACAAACATCTCCAATGCTCAGATGTGTGCACCTAACCCCTTTGATAAAGTATCCCTGGAAGGTGACGTCTCGGCTGGTTTTGTGAGGTAAACTCATGGGGACAATGCTGGCCAGTCTTTGTGTCTCGTGGATGACAGCGTCGATGTATGGCATTTGTTTCCGGTCATCTACCCGCACCTCCCGGCTTCCCAACACCCTGTCCAGCTCCTCATGGACCTTCTCTGAACACACACACACAAATAAAAAAGCTATTGGCTCTGTGAAGATCAACTTTTGCAGAGTTGTGTTCAACTAAATAGGAGTAAACAGGTAAATATGTTAAAAATGACAATTCAAAGATTACAATGCTGACATGTACCATATAAATAAAACTGCCTCAACTGGCCTTGCATAGTTTACTTGGGTGCTTGCAGTACGACACAAGGATGCAACAGAGCTCTCAATATTAAAAAACAACTCCAGGTTGTGTCATCATAGATGGAACTGTAGCCAAGCTGGATGTGCTCACTTAGTGAAATCTGACAGGTATCTGACTCCTTGTGATCTGACTAATGTTAGCTGATTATTGTTATGTAATCAGGCCGTTAGAACTATATATTATGTGTATCAAAGTACATACATTATATTTGTTCATGACTGTCAAGTATTCCAAAGCATTTAAAGGTCAAATCAAACATTCAAAACCACCTTGTATGTGTGGATATTTGACCATGAGCAGCAAACCCCATCTCAGTGTAATTGCTGTGGTATCAGTTCCAGCTGCAAACAGGTTGCCGACAGTAAATATCAAGTTTGTCTCGTTGTAGTGAGAGTCCTTTACAAACGAGTCCTAAGAGAAAAAAGGAGAAATATCATTAAAAAAGCTCTGCTGCTCTTTTAGTAAGATGGAACAGAGGTTGACTTACCTCTTCTTTCTGCTTTCGAATTAGAAAACAGTCCAGAAGCCCCCTGCATATTTGAGGGTTGAGTGTTTCTTTAATGCTCTTGATCAACTCTTTAATGTCTTGGACAGTATCCTCAAGGTTTCTTAATATCTGCTGCCTGTTTTTGACCCAGCTGAGCAGCCTTGGAAACATGTTGTAAAGCTGTAATGCAACAACAACAAAAAAGAACCATCAACAAACATGTTTCTCGATTTGAAATAACAAGTGTTATAGATAGGATTACATGCAAGCTGTAACAGCCCAATCTGAGGTGGGCCTGTGGGCTAAACAATAACCAAAACATTGACCCAACAAAATCACATTAAACACCTTCAAACACTTACATGGTAATAATTATTAGACAAACAAAATAAAAAGAACACAACCCAAACTCCCTGATTTTTTCTTATAAATCAAGCTTACATGGATCAAATTTCTCAGCTACATTTGCTTACTTCAGTTACAATGATACAAAATAGTAAATACAAAAATCACCTGAACTGTTGGAGAACCAGTTAGAGATATGTTCTCGTTTGCTCTTTTCACCAAGTTTTGGAATCGCTGGTCATCATATTCAAATCTGCTTCCATACACAATAGAGGAGATGATATTGGATGTAGCATAATTCATCGGACGTGAAGTATCAAAGGGTTTTCCTGTATAATTGCAATGCGAAAAAATTAAGTCATGTACAGTGCAGTCATACAATGAAAAATGTAAAACAATTACTGTTAAAGCAATTACTGTTTTACTCAGACATGACTGAAAAATAGTTTTCCTTCATAATAATAATAGGTTTAATATCATTATTATTAAACTGATGTTATTATGATGAAGTCCATACCTTTATATTCATCAAACAGTTGGATCAGATGCTGGCATTCCTCCAATATTTTTTCCTCAGCTAATCTTTTGCCCATCCCGAAGTCTCTCAGGGTGGTCAGGGAAAAACGCCTCAACTCTTTCCATGATTCTCCATTTGCAAAAAGAATTCCTATTTAACATGAAAAGACATATGAGAAATTAATCTACAAAAAACAAACTACAAATTACAAATGAACACAGGAACTGATCATCAAACTGTGTCACTTCCCATTAAATTCAATGTTATTTGTTATTTTGGTTAATAAATGTGTGCTTTTTTCTTGCCTTTTAGTGGTGTTTACTTTTTTTCACAGCTGTCTTTGCAAGCATTTGGTTTGGTGCTATAATGAAAACATGCTGCATATAAAACATTTGCAGTTAGAACATACCATGGCCATGGTTTAAATCATATGATAAAGGGGAGATGTCTCGGTCTCCAAACTCCTCTGAGTAGTTGACCAGAGCCTCTTTGATTGTCTTGAACCCTGCCAAGACGACCACTTTGGTGGTTCCAAAGTAAACTTTGAATACAGGTCCATATTTCTTTGCAAACTGGACAATAGAAAAATAATTAAACATGTAAGAAATAATGTAAGAACATTTGTATTCATAAATGGCTCCCCATTCAAAAAAATTGCAAAATTGAGAGCGGTACACTCACCTCACAGAGATTTTTGTCAGGTCTCTTCAAATCAAACTGCAGTATGTTGCCAAACAGGGGCAAAGCACTTGGCCCTGGAGGCTCACTCCTTTTTTCTTGCAAGCTGAAGCTGGAGGGAAGAAAGTAAAAGACCAGCAAGCCCACTATGGTCCCCAACAGGACAGAAGTGGAGGGCTGGAAAAGACCCTCCAACATGATATAATCCTCTGGACCTGACTCTTAAAAGTTAAAAACTTTGAACTGCACAGTTTTCCCCAAAGTCAGTTCTGAGTGCTCTTAGGTCTTATAACATATATTGTAAAGTGGGGGTAGGGTTGGTAGACCAGGGTCTCACAGTCAAACCTAATGCACCAATGAATCCTCTTCACTGGGTGTAATAGAGCTAAGCCATCACAGATCTAAGAAAATCAATTGTAGTTGTTAACCAGTCACATGACTTGAACTCAGGCCAGACTTGAGTCCCAGATTTGATGACTTTGGACTGGACATGATAAGAGCGTAAAAAACACAACTCGACTTGGCCTTAATCACCAATGACTTGTGACTTGAGCCTTATGACTTGAAAATACATTAGATTTAAAAAGTGTTTTAACATATTGCCCTAAGATCTCAGTGAAGCTGAAAACACAGAATCCATCACTTAAATATATGATCTGATCCAATGGAACAAATCAGATAACAAAGTATTCAGAATCATGGAAAAGGAAAACACGGAATCCAAAAACAATTCAAACCCAGTCAGTCACACTAGTCTTTTTAAAATTACTACTTTTAAGATTACTACTCTATTAAAATGGCATTTCATTTGGTGAAGAGTGCTAATGACTCGAAACTCAAAGTGTAGGACTTTGGACCAGACTCTGGACTTGCCTGTCATTCAAAGTCTATTTTTGAATTAGTACATACTGCAGGATCTACTCCATCTGTGAGACTGGCTAAATTTCTTGCTACTCTACTCGGCATTCTACTAAGTTAAAGAGCTACAGTAGCCTTAGCACTTAGCAGGGAGTGACTGATTAGCCTAAAAAAAAATCGATTTCTGGAAGCTATGAATCGATTTGAAATCTCACAAGATAAGAATCTCGATTTTTACATAAATCACTTTTTTCCCAACCTCTATGTGACAGTATAAGGGAACATTACCTTTAGCTTTACTGACTGAACAGTCACAGTGCAATCAATAGTGTAAGTTGGAAGCTAAGAAGTTGTATGGAAGGTCTGAAAAAGTTAAATTTATTTAACCATTGTTTCATTATTACATAGCAACAAAAAGATACGATACTTTCTCCGATGCAATTTGCAAACTTTTAAAAAAGTTTGAATTTCACTCGCTTCCAATAGAAATGTTCACACCAACCAGATGAACTTCTCCACGAACCCATGCGTAATAACGTCTTTCACCACAGGAGAAACACAACTTTGCTTTTTTCTAGCAACAACACGGTTACATTTCATTGCTGGGGTCAGATTTTGATTGCAGTAATTCAGTTAAAAGTGCAACTTTTATTTTCATGTAACGCAGTGGTTCCTAAACTTTTCTCTGCCGGCCTCCCACCCCTCACCATACACACTACATATACTACAGTATATATATATATATATAATTATATACTTCATCTGTGGCTAATATAGACAGGCACATATGTAGCCCTTGTCACTTACAAGCACTTTCTTGTTGCCGTGGGTGATTCACTCCCACAAGTGTAATACCTCCTTGTTTATATAATTACCTCAAATCCAACAGTTAAAGTCTCTGACAGATAATACTTGTGAAGGACTTTTCCTTATTTGATGCACGGTTGAAACATGACACAGCTTTGGGATGCACAGTTTGTTGTCACACACTGAAGTGAACATTCTCCATTGGCAGACAATGTTGGAGATAAAGTCTAAAAATACAGAAATTTGTTAGCAAAGGGCGTGACTGACAGTGTGATAAGTGTATATCATATGTTAATGTGTTGATGTGTATGGTGAGTGGGGGTGGGGGGGGAATGAAAACATTTTCATCTGCCAAAAGGTGGCCCAGTAAGAACCCTTGCATGTACACTTGTTCTGGTTAACTGTTTTTTCTTTGGCCAAGCTTCATTCAAAGCTTCTTTGTAAGGCATCCAGGTCTCCTAAAGCTTTTCTCTGATTTCTATCACAACACATGACCATACAGGCATACAGATATGTATGTCTGAACATGTAAAGGCCGTACAGTGTTCTTGTCTGTAATAAAAAAAAAACGTTGCATAATCGAATGGGACTTAAAAATGCATGCGATTGTTTGGCTCATCAGCACTGGGTACAAAGTCACTTTGAAATGTTAGTCTTTAGTATTTAATGCACAGTATCCATGCACTGCCTGATTTGTGCAGATTATGAAGTTTGAGAACCATCAAAAATGGTAACCACCTTGATTTTTTCTATAACCCCTGTTCACTTTAACAAAATACTTTTTCTGTCTTACAATTTGCCATTTCAAGTTAGCCCCAGAAAACAGATAATGATTGGGAGATGGGTTTAGCTTTGTAACATAGGAACCTTCAGTAAAACCAGCATTAGTAGTAACCAATTTTATCAATACAATTTAAGAAGGTCAATCTTTTCTTGTGTACCTCAAGCTGGATCTTGCGGGCCAGAAAGGAATCCACTACACCCCTGCACATCCCTGGATTAAGGGTGTCCTGTAAATCCTTGATTAATGTTTTCATATTGCTCAGATTGACAAACGCACTCTGCACAAGTTGCTTTCGCACTCCCAGCCAGCTGAACAGCCTTGGAAAGAAGTTGTATAACTGTTGGAAAAATAACCACATTTAACCATCAAATGTATATCAGGTTTATAACTGGTGATTGATTTGGCACTTATCACTGTGACCTGTATGAGAGGGTTGGTTGGCCTTCTCTTGAAGAGAGGCGCAAAAAAAACACTGGATTTTAAATATTTTTAAGGCTCTTATTGGTAAACTTCCACCTTACATTACAGACCTGTTGGAATGGAATACAGGTACCTACATGACCCGTTCGTCTGATTGGCTTGTTTTTAAAGTCCCTCGAGCTTTTACTGAACTCGGTAAATCAGCATTTTCTTTTGATGCCCCAAACTCTTGGAACGCCCTCCAGCAAACTCTAAGGATGAAATATCTGCAGCTTTATTTCATTCTATCAAAATCTCATACCCTTTTCTCTGTTTACTCCTTCTCCCTGCACTTCCCCTTATGGCAGACAATAGCATTCATTTTTATTTACACCAATTAACCTGACCCAAATGAGGTTGAACTGTAGTAAATTGTCCTGCTATCAGGTTAAATTGCTCACATACTGTATCTTACCTGCTAGCAGGACAATTAAAGCTGCCCATAAAATTGCCCGGCTCTATTCTGCCCCATTCTATAATCTTTAGTCTGTTTATGACTCCTGCTCTCATGTACACTGTGTACTGTACCTGCATTGAAGGACAACCCAATGGTTTAGAGTTTTGAGTAGCTCTCTCCACCATGGATGTGAAAATCGGGTCATCATATTCAAATCTGTTTCCATACACAATAGAGCAGATGATGTTGGAGACAGAATTGTTTACTGGCTGGGCTGGGTCAAAGCCTTTACCTGATAGAAAGAAATCAATCATTGCACTCATCTCAACTGATGTATCACTGTTAAGATAAATGTGATTTTTCTCGAATAAGTACACATTCATTTACATATATAATGATTGAAGCAAAAAAAACTATAACCTATATCAATCAGGCGTTGACTCTCCTTTCCACGAGGCTCCATTGGCGAATAAAATTCCTGAAAATGACCACATTTTTTTTCGGGACTTCTTTTTTAGTAGCAACCAACAAGAATATTAAAACATGAACAGACACATACATTTTTTATTTATTTTTACCCCTCACCATGTGTTAATTTAAGATCTTGTATAATTTGAGGAAACTCTGTCTCTGAAAATGCATCATGGTGGACAAGAGCCTGCTTGATCGTCTTGTGCCCCGCAAACACCACCACAAGTGGAATGTAAATACTGGTCCATACTTCTTTGAAAGCTGATATAAAAGCCATAACAAAAAAAAAGAAAAATGTATAAAAAGTCAGACCAACTTTTACGTAAAATATGCTGAATCAATAACAAATTATCACCTCATTCAGTGTTCAGATTTATGATCCAGTAGCAACCAATTGCCTATTACAGGCAGTGGCCAGGGCCCCAGAGGCTCCTTAATGTGACGATTGGCGAAACTGGAAAATAACACGTAAAAGACAAGCAGGACTCCAACAGTGCACAACACAGTGATTGTATCTGGGGACTGCAGAAAAAGGCTTTCCATTACAGCTACACTTCAGTGTTAAAATCAAATGAATCTAAAAAAGTCAGGCAGTACTGGTGTTTCCAATTCCAATGTGCAGCGTGAGTATTAGCATGAGCTATCACATTCAGCTAATCTAGTTCCGTCCAGTTTGAAGGTGTGAAACAACAGAACTGAAGGAGGGAGAAGGGTTCCTATTTAACTGTGTCTCTGAGACGCACCCTGCAACCTGCAATAGATATAAGTCAAGTAATGTACTTTTACAACTGCTTTTCATAATGAACTGCAAAAAAAAGTATATAGCCTTACTCAGCAATGATTGACATCAGTATAAAATACCCAGTTGTTTTCAATCCCTAAAAGAATGCTGCCTCCACTTTACACCCAGGCTCATCTAATCCTTATTCCAGGTCCAAGAAGAAGTACTTCTGGTATATATTTTCTTTTGGTCCAACAGGAAACCAAAAGAAGAGTTTCCTTTTTTCATCCATGCATTCATTCTGTTTCTCCCTGTTACCAATGATTTAGTGAGCAAGTATTCAACTAGAAAGGGCCCTGTTAATATTTTACCAATTGTTAGAGTTTAATTACCCACAGATTGACCATGCCAAGTGACCAATTGACCAAGTGTATTTTAAATCTGTAGCTGTCTAATCTAATCTCAAAGTAATCATGGTTTGAGTTTTGTAGTCCATCACTATCTTTTTGAATTGATGCAACCATTGCTACACCTCTTAATGCTGTCTTCCACAACTTTCCAAATTCAAAGGCTTTCTCATATCACTGATATGCTGATGATATTCAGCTGTATGTCATATAAGCCTTATGGCACTAACAGCCTATGCTCTGTAGCTTGTTAATGATTTAGTGAGCTCATGTCCTCAACATGAGGACTATAGCACTCCTGACTTGAATAACGTAAGCATTTTGTTAGTACTCTAAAATGACCCTGACGTTCAGGACAGGGTGTCTCTCCTCTGCTACTCATTCTTGATGAGCTTAATCATTTCTACAGAATTGGCTAATTTAACCTCTGCGACTCAAATAAATGCCAATCCAATAACTAACTGGCTAAATGAATACAATCAAAAGCTTCATTTTAATTAACCATAATTCTACAATCTTGTCCAGCCATACCACTACTTATGTGAGCCCAAAATGTGTGAAGACCTGTCGATACTTTAAGAGCTGCAATCTCATCCATCTTGCATTATTTAAAGAATGACACAATATGACATTTTTGTATTCCCATTTGTCCGTCCCTTGTGCATGTGGCAAGACACTTTTTCTTCTGATCAGCCTGCAGCAAATCGTAAAACATGGCCTTGATCCCAGACACTCCTATCTTTGATAACAAATGTTAGAGAAATACAAGTAGGATCCCAACAGTCCCTTGGTGGTACTGGGGGGTGCGGCTGAGAAGTGTGTTTCCTTATTATAGCTACATTTTCAATTGTCAAAATAACGATAACAAAGTCAATACAATAATTATGTCATTCTTCTTAGTGCATGTGTTGTAAGTCGTTTAAGGATTAAGTCAGGTGAACGAGTGAAAAAAACACTGATTGCCCTTTGTTACGGTTGTCTTTATTTCTGTGTGTTAAGGTTTTGGTTCATGTGAAAGACATTTTTTTAACACAACAAAGAAAAGATTTCCATTCCATAGCTGTTTACATGGGGGGATAAAGAAACACATGATCAAACAAAGTAATAGCCTGCCAAGCAAGTTAATAAATGATGAAATGTTCAGTCCGTGAGGGAAAGTTAAACAATACAGATTTATGTCACATGCCGATCCGTCTCAATATGTGTAGCTTTCCAAAAAACATAAAAAGTAAAGGAAAAATATGATAATCAAAACACAGCCAAGTTATGATTCTATACTGTGATTGTATTGATGCCTGTGTAAGTCTACTTTAAGCACCTTGTTTACTTCCAAAGGCCCCGCCATAACCCTTCTACGTTCATCCATTAGATGCCCTCAGATCCTCTGCAGCCAGTTTGGGATATATTAACCTTTTAAACAGGCTTTGCTATTGGTCGCAAAAACCATCCATCCGAAATGTAAAAGTCGAAAAGGTTACTGTTTGAAATATGGGATTGTTCTCAGACGAGTATACTCACCTCCGTTATTGATCACACAGAGGCTTTACTTCTCAGCTTTGACTGAAGCCTCACGTTGCCTCATCCTCATGAGAAACCTCATCACCAGCATCACTTTAAAAAACAAAGATGTCAACCTTGTTTATTTTATCTCCAAATTGTAGTGAACTGACTGAGACTGTAAAAAATTATAATTCAATGTTTCAGTTTCTACCCACTGAAATTGAATTGAATCAACTGCATACATTAACTATGACCAACAATCCAAAAGCTAATTGTGTGTGTGGTCGCGCGTGTTAAAAGTAATATAATAATAATATAATAATATTACAATACGAAGAATATGGATAATTTAGACTATAATAAAGAGTAAGGTGACAACTGGTGGTGACAAGATGACTGACCCTTCATATAATATCAGTTGTGTTCATTTTTCTGCTAACCCAGTCAATCAAATCTAGTAGTTAATACTTGGAGTATCTAAACAGAATCAATTGCAATATTGGACAAATTCTTAGAATATAATTTTTTGCCAGTGAAAATTATAAAGTATGATATTTTTATATTCAAAGATAATTTATTAAATATGATCCATCGAATCAAAGTTTGAATGAGAACAAGGGTCGTGTCATCCGCAAACATTATTAGAGAAAGAACATGCGACTTATTAAACAAATTATTAATATAGATAAGAAATAATGCAATCCTTAACAGAAACAAACTGGCTTCTGTTGAGAAGATCATTTTTTACCCATTTGTGAGTAACATCATGAAAACCACGTTAAAAATGGTTTTCAATAACACATGTAAATCAACTGTATCCAAAAGCTTTTGAAAAGTGTAAATAGATACTGAAAGTAAATTTATGATCGTCAAGTGCAAATGTACAGTAGTTTCGTCAATGAGATGAAACAAAGCCATATAGGCGGAATGATTTATATATATATATATATATATATATATATATATATGCCAGTCCCGCTCTTTGCTAAAAAATGCCTATATATTTAGAATTTATCTCAAACATTGGCTGCAAAAAGTACATAAAAGCATTTCAGTGTGTGACAACAAACCGAAAACCTGAATATGTTTTTTTTTTTGGTTTGTTGAAAGATCAGAAAGAGTTATGCAATTGTTGAATTTGTTTATGTCTTTTTCTTTTATTATCATTTAATCAATTTATCATTTACTTCATATTTTTTTTCTCTGCTTTTATATTTCCTGTTAAACTTGCACCCTCGTGGTGCCTATGCACCTGTGAGGTCAGGATAAGTGTGCCAGACAATTAAGCAAAAAATAGCGTTTCTGCGTATCTGCCTGGTTCACGGTCTTCAAGCTAAAACCACATATGAACTTAATATCACCTGTGTTACCTTGTATGCTAGATGCTATGTAATCTAGAGTCCTATATCAGGGGTTATTCTTGAATCTAACTATTCTGGAAATGAATGTTAGGCAGATAATCCTGGGGCTGTGATGTCCGGGACATGCTACAGGTTGTATTTTTCCAAATCTCCTTTATATCCAACTTGGTAACAGAACTTCATGTTATTATCCTACCTCTGCAAATAGGGCTGGAAATGTCATATTGTGTTGTGTCAGAGAAAAGAGCCATGATAATATGCAGACAGAGAGCTACAGATTCCAGAAATCTGCAAGGCATTTGAATTCAGTTCAAAACAATATGAACTTGTATTTTAATACTATACGAACTAAACAAAAACATATAGCATAGGCTACATTACCAGATTAATAGATTTATCTGATGCATCCATTCATAATTGTTGTCATATGACGGAGCCCATTCAGATAAGCAGACCGCTGCAGATGGTTTATTCGCTAACCTTTCCTTTGCTGCCACCTTCTGGACAATTTGTCAGTTTCCATTTTGTCTCTATTTTGCCTTTTCCTTCATTTACTCCTTTAGTTGATTTTTTTTAATCATGTTCATCTCTATCAGTAATAAGGAAAGGAAAATATAGCAAATTACACTGAAAGAGTAGGTACAGTTGATGCTCCTGTGAGCAATTTTTAGCTGGTTTTGAAAAAGACTGAAAGTAATATTGATGCCTTCATATGACCCTCAAAAGCAGACAAGACCAATAATTGATTTTTCTAGGGGTTCGTTAACAATCTGTCATGCCTGCGGCATTGTAGGTGTCAGGAGAGACGATTAACAACAATAAGGAAACTAAAATGCAAACTATGAGGGAAAAACAAGAATGAAATTCCAAGTGGAGTTTAAGGAAAACCAGGGTATGATGTTTGGATAAAGAAGAGATGCCTGAAGACAAACACAGGGCTGAACAGTATTTTAAATTTTTTGCAATGGTGGCAAAGTAGTACAACTTTAACTTTGTTAATATCACACAAAGCGGTGTAAAAGTTCTTCATTGAGGCAAAAACACTGTACAGTCAGTACATCAACAATAATAAAATAACTATGGTGAAAGGCCTTTTAACTGTTCGCATAAACATTCCCATTAGTGATGTCTGACTTTTCTCTCTCCTATTCCTCGTCTGCTCACGTCTTCTGCATTACATAAAGTTTACATTTTGTGCTGTCTTGAGTCTGTCATTTGAAGAGAAGCTAAAGTCTGTAAAGTATTTTTGTAAAGTATTAAGTCATGTTACTCAGGTCTTTTATGTGTTGTTTGGATTGTGACAGTCTTACAGGAGCAAAGGTGAATTCAATCTAGTTATTATAGATGTACCACAATTCAATGCAGACAGCCAACATAAGATCAATACTGTAGTCATATCAGGTTACTGTAAGTGTGCTGCTCACCCTTGACCTAGAAGGAAGGATTAAACAGAACAATACTGAAATAAAATCTGTGTCATGTTTTTGTGTGTTTGGAGATATCCAACCTACTGGTTGAGCAGCTTTCGAACGTGTTCCCAAATTCCATTCTCAACAATGATGTGCCCCGACAGGTAGGCTACTGACTAAACTCCTGATCCTTTCATGTCTGTGCCAAAACAGGTCAGCCTGATTGATGTTGAAAGCAAAAGTAGGTCATGAAAGTTTATTATGAATTTTCTCCTTTATTTTTATCCAGCTCATGACCATGAGGGAACAAGTTTAACATGTAACAGTCAATTGATGAGAAAAATTACTTTGTGTCTAATTAAAAACATATTTAATAAAAGAATATGTCAAGTTTTTATTGAATTAATATTTTATTCAAAGAAAAAACAAACAGGAATCATACAAAAAATAGTTTCATAAATGCAGTGTGTCTTAATTTCAGATGTTCCTGAGATCAGCTTGGTGTAGAGGCAGCTCAAAAATGACTTTTATGTTACGTCAATCTATTTCTATCATCTTCTATAATATACAAGATGTATCTACCCAACCAAGCTCACCCTTTCATGGATATGATTCATTGTAGAAACAAGTAGTAATGTAGGAGTCACATTTGCAAAAATCTTTAAAAAAAAAATTGTACTGATTGTTTCAACTAATGTGTACAAACTACAAATATGATTTGACTTACAGTGAAGTCAACGACCTCCACTTGTGTATGACGTCATTCACCTTTGGTGAGACCACTTCAGGTAGTTTTTTTGGGAGTGACAGAGAAATTGTCCGCTGATGTTATTTTAACGTTTTTTTTTTTTAACAAACTCTGGCAGTTATCATGCCACTTTACAAATCTCGACTTACAGCGCAAAGCTGGTGAGGTGAAGGGTTGAGTGTCAGGCCAATTGCTGGTGTGAGATCTAGTTCGTCCTCTGTAACTCCAGGTGGAGGAGTGAAACGGAACCGTTGCAGGATGGAGGTGAAGAAGAGGAAGAGCTCCATCTTGGCCAGACCTTCTCCAAGACACACCCTGCGACCTGAAGACAGAAGAGATTTGGCAAGGATTCAAACTGGATCATGCTGTGTCAAATATCTCTGTGAACCCTAAACAGAAAATCTTACCTGCAGAAAATGGCATGAAGGCATCAGGCTTGAAGAATTTACCCTCCTCATCCAGAAAGTGGGAAGGGTTGAAAGTATAGGGGGCTCTCCCATTCACTCTCATCATATAGAACAGATGTAAGCAGAGGAAACACAATAGTCCCCTGTAGGCAAAAGCAGATCTACCATATAAAATCTCAAAAATCAAATCCTATTTTCAAGAGATGTTTCAAGAGATGACAAACATCTCCAATGCTCAGATGTGTGCATCTAACCTCTTTGATAAAGTATCCCTGGAAGGTGACGTCTCGGCTGGTTTTGTGAGGTAAACTCATGGGGACAATGCTGGCCAGTCTTTGTGTCTCGTGGATGACAGCGTCGATGTATGGCATTTGTTTCCGGTCATCTACCCGCACCTCCCGGCTTCCCAACACCCTGTCCAGCTCCTCATGGACCTTCTCTGAACACACACACACACAAATAAAAAAGCTAAGCTAGTGGCTCTGTGAAGATCAACTTCTGCAGAGTCATGTTCGATTTTAAAAACATGATTACAAAACTACTCAGCTCATTAATTTAATTTGCACTATTGACATTGTTGAAAAAATGAGTGCATGCCCTCAATGACTTCTCCAGATTAAATAAATGTTGAATGAATTTTGAGTGTCTAGAAACAGAAATGTCAGTTAATACTAACATGTAACACATGGTTAAATTACCATTCAAGTAAACTGGGCATTTCAATGTTGTTGTAATAGGAAGCAGATATTCTGGCCTGGGTTTGTTTTTCTTCTGTTTCAAAAAATGCTACAAAAACTGAGAGGGGGAAAAGAAAGACGAAGACATTCCTTGTCATAAAAAGGCGAAAAACTAACTGCCCAACAGCTGCTAGAGTAGACAACACGGCCAACAAGACTGCCTAGCATGAACATCTTGGCACATGATTGTACTTTCTGCCTTTTTTAAATAACTTAGCACAGGTGGAAATATAAATTCATAAGCCACGTCATTCTCCTTACCTTGTATATGTGGATACTTGGCCATAAGCATAAAACCCCATCTGAGTGTGGTTGCCGTGGTATCAGTACCAGCTCCAAACAGATTGGTGATTGAAAATACCAAGTTTTTCTCGTTGAAATGGGTGTCCACTACACCAGTGTCCTCAAAGAAACAAATATAAATAGCTTTATAAAACACATTATTCTTTATTTAAGAGGACAAGACAAAAATTATGTGTTTTTCTTACCTCTTCTTTCTGCTTTCGAATCAGAAAACAGTCCACAAACCCCCTGCATAATTGAGGGTTAAGTGTTTCTGTTAGACTCTTGACTATCTCTTTCACATTTTTGACAAGCCTCGCAGTATTTCTCATCACCAGCTTCCTGTTTTTGATCCAACAGAGCAGCCTGGGAAACATGTTGTAAAGCTGTGATACAGAAACAAAACAACAATTACATGAGAAATAACAGATACTTTATTATTAGACATCTAACATTTCCTACAATATTTATTAAATGTTAGAGCTAATTAAACATTATTGTTCAAATGGAATAAACTCAAAAAATGTAGTATACATGAAACAAATGTTCATTTTTAGATTTCAGTTTTTTGTCCCTTTACATCCTGCACACAGAGATTTAGCCATCTTTGCTTGACTTAATGTAGCTCTAAAACAGTATCAAAAAGCAAATAAAAAGCATACCCCGATTTGTGCAGAACCAACAAAACGTATGGTCTCGTTGGCTGTTTGCACCATGTTTGTGAATCGGGGGTCGTCGTATTCAAACCTACTCCCGTACACAATGGCCGATATGACATTTGATGTAGCATAGTTCGTCGGATGAGATGTATCAAAGGGTTTTCCTGTTCAACAGAGGAAATTATCAAGACTAAAACGCAATAATGTAAACTTGTACTAATCTGACAAACAAACCTCTCTTGACTTGGCAATGACAAGTAGGGTCTCCTTTACAGATGTTATAAAGCCCTGATGTGAATTCAAATTGGCTTCACTTCAACTGTTTTTCTGCTATATCAGAGTGACATAGCAGAAGAGGAGAAGAAAAAGGTTCAAAAGTAGAAGAAGAAGAAACAAGAAGACTAAGAAACAGAAGAAGAAGATGAAGAACAACAACAAAAAGAAGACATAGAAGAGGAATCAAAGGATGATGATGATGATGGTGATGAAGACGCTGTGGATCTTTCTCTCTCTCTCCTATTCCTCGTCTGCTCACGTCTTCTGCATTACATAAAGTTTACATTTTGTGCTGTCTTGATCCTGTCATTTGAGAAGAAGCCAAAGTCTGTAAAGTATTTTTGTGAAGTATTAAGTCATGTTACTCAGGTCTTTTATGTGTTGTGACAGTCTTACAGGAGCAAAGGTGAATTCAACCTAGTTATTATTGACTGGGGCTGATCCTTTTTTGTCTGTGCTTAAACAGGTCAGCCTGGTTGATGTTGAAAGAAAAAGTAGGTCATGAAAGTTTAATATGAATTTTCCCCTTCATTATTATCCAGCTCATGACCATGAGGGAACAAGTTTAACATGTAACAGTCAACTGATGAGAAAAATTACTTTTTGTGTGTCTAATTAAAAACATATTTAAGAAAGTAGTATGTCCAGTTTTTTATTGAATTAATATTTTATTTGAACCAAAAGAAGTAGAAGAAGAAACAAGAAGAAGAAGAAGCAGCACCAAAAGAGGATGATTAACCAAGAGAAGAAGATGAAGAGGAAGGAATTATAAACCAGCACTACTCAGTAGAGTTTAACTACTAAACCTTTATGCTGGTCAAACATTTGGATCAGATGTTGGCATTCCTCCAAGATTCTTTCCTCTGCTATTCTTTTGCCCATCCCAAAGTCTCTCAGGGTGGTCAGGGCGAAACGTCTCATCTCTTTCCAGGACTCTCCGTTTACAAACAGAATCCCTATTAAACATGACATATGTACCACATGTCAACATGTTATCAAAGTATACTTATCAGGGATTCATCTGATAAATGAAACCAGCGCAGGGGACTCAAATGATATACCATGATACTCATCAGAGAATTGTGTTTACAACTCAGACTAGAAATGTGAAGATTGAAAATAAAACTAATACTAAAAAAAACTGCATCATGTGAAACAGATTAACAATTACAAAAATGCTAATGATCATTTACAGTTTGTTGTTAACACTCCGGTTATATTTCATTTTGTGGGGGAACAAAAGATTTAGAAAGATGTGACATACCGTGACCTTGGTTTGTATCGTAAAACATGGGGAAAATGTGTCTGTCTCCAAACTCTTCTGCACAGCCAACCAGAGCCTCTTTGACTGCCTTGTACCCGGCCAGGACCACCACTTTGTTTGGTCCAAAGTGCACCGTGAACACAGACCCATATTTCTTAGAAAGCTGAAAATTACAATCGTACTATAACAACTGCAAACAAAGACATTCAAGTGAACCGTAAAATGGGACAACACTGGATTTGTTTTGTACTGAAGGGCTTTACTCACCTCGCAGAGCGTTCTGTAGGGTCTCTTGAGGTCTAGCTGCAACAGGTTGCCTAGCAGGGGTAGAGGTTTTGGTCCTGGAGGCTCCTTCTGCGACTCATCTGAGTTGAGACTACTGGAAACAAGAAGACAGAGAAGAAGCAGGAGAGCGGCAGCCCCCAACATACTGGTGGGACTGGAAAAAAGGAAGGCAACACAATCCTCCAGTAGAGACATTTCTTCTGCTCGGACGGCTCTCCTCTATGACTGAGTCTTGCTGCTAAGCCACAGACCTGATTACACTCATGAAGCGTAACCTCGAGAGGCCTCCCAGCTGGAGTGTAGTGTTACTAATCATTTCTCCTCCCACATGTGTGTCGTTAAGACAAGTGAGAGAAGTATGCTGGGAACATTAAGCCAGAGGACCGGTTTTTCCAGAGTAATTCCAAAATGTAAGGTTATGTTGGGGAGAAAATCCTTTAAATGTCAGTAATGTGTTTGACTGTAGTACAAGGACCTTTAGGAATTCTTCAGATTATTAATGTGGAGACCAATTGTTTCCTTCTGATTTGGCTTAGCAACAAACCGCAGCTCTGTTTGCATGTCTACAGTATATCAAAGGTTTTATGTTTTTTAAATGAGTTTTTGTAGTTCAGCATGTCAGATAAAAAATAAATCTAACTCTAAAGTAAAGGTCCAGATTAAGTGTTTTTAATGCAGATCCATGATTCTTACAGAAACTAATGATTAGGTCTAAATTGCAACCTCAATCTCCAGAAATCTTTGTCTATGCAAAATGTCTTTGATTCCACTCAATTTGATTTATTTGCATTAGAGATGCACATATTGGGAAAATCGAGACTGAAACAACAATTTAGCTATTTGCTGATTCTGATACAGATGGTGTTTTTTCATACGTTATGTCTGATTTTCAAATGAGCAATGAAAGTTAGAGTATCACATTGTTGTTAGAAGCCCCTTCTCTGGGGGGAACATGTCAATCAAACTGCATGTAGCAGATGTTTCCCAGAGACGGTGTCAGACTCACGCACTGCCAAAACCTTCTTTGACATTTGACCATGAAAACAAATAAGTGTTTGTCCAACAGGTGACTTCCTCTGCCCAGTAAAGAAACCTCTTCTCTGAATCAGAAGTTAGGTGTACCAGCTTACCAGAGTTAAAATGATGTAAAACAACTGATACACAAATCGGCTACTGAGATCGGTGCAACACTGATAGTCATCTGCCGTGCACTACAAATCAAAAGAAGTTAACAATGTGAATAAATTTTTACATTCTTTTCAGTTGACCTTTTTCTTCTTGGCTACATCCACTTTTTTTTAGGGTTTACCTTTTGATGCTTCTTTGTACACGCTTCTTCAATATTCCTGCAAGGAGGGGTAGATGTTGAAGGGATCAACGGCACACTGAAGAACAGAATTTAGTTTTTTACATTTTCCAAAGAAAGGCTCACAGTGAGAGGTACATTTGACTTTTTCATAAAAAAAACGACTAATGGGATTCATGTTTAGCTTAGTTTGTAGAGCAGGTGCCTCGTGTGCAGAGACTATGTTATAGAGGCCAAAAAGCCCCCAAAAGAATCTTTAAGAGATAAGATAAGATGTTCCCCTTTTGTCCACTGGGGGTGCCAAAATCGCCAAAAGTTCCTCACAGGAGCTTTAAGGAAGCCTGTCAAAAAGCACTCCATCCATTCTGTTTCTCCTCCACTCTCACACATTGTTTTGTCGACGAATACAAATAGATTGACCAATGTGCGATCATCTGCAGAACAAATGAGACCACGAGCTGGTTTTTTTTGCTACCACTTGCATAGAGCATTATTTAATTTAAAAAGAAGAGCGATACATATACATTTGACAAGGTCAGTTCCATGGTACAGTACACATTCACAATGATGTCAATTCCCTTTGTTTTAAATATGATACACTGTATTTCAGCAATAAATCACTCCTTCAATTTCAGCACCCGAAACCTGTTTTTTCCATTTTCCTCAAACTACATAATCTAACATTGCAGATGATTCAAGTCATACATGTAATGAGACGGAAAGTGTGCAAATAGAAGAAATACATGAAACAAAAGTCTAAATGAAAGGTTTAGTCCTTCAAAGTCGAAAAAGCAACATATCTGTGCCTTTCTGGAATGTCAATCTCTTTTTAAACACACATCTGGTGACTTTAATAAACTGTTCAAATCATAAGACGCTGTAAAAAAAAAGTTGGTTTCTGAGTTCTATTTGCTCTCGTTTAAGACAAGAAATACATTCATCTCACTGCTGTGAAGTCAATGGCTGTTTTTCTGGAGAATAAATGTTTTCATACTCAATGCTTATTCCACCTCGGTTATAAATGGGATCGTTGACATGGAGGAAAACATATATTTGTGGGGAATTGATTTTCAAAGTGTTCCTACAGAACACAAAGATTTGCACAAGTCCTTTAAATTGCAAAAAACTAGGATTCAGCATCTTAGCATATCCAAATAAAAGAAAACTCAACATTGAGTGGATTAGTCTTCCCTTCAACAAGGCATCTTTTTGTGTTACCCATTCCTTCTATCTACATTAAAGATTATGCAGCAAGTCCAAAGTGTCCATCGCACAATAACAATCTCTTTGTGTTTAATATGTAAGGACTATCATAGCGCTGTCTAAGTCTGGATAAATGCAGGAATCATGTGTTGCCATTCTCTCTGCATCTCTCACTAACACATTCACACACACAGGGGTTAAATGCATAGCTGCAAGAGGGGAAAAAACCCCCACCTCATAGGTCAGTGCAGTTTCTGTTCTAGGTCCAAATCAATCACATGCAATCTGACAACTATATTTAAGGTTGTCTCGTGTTCCTGCAACCACAGCCACATTTTGAAATCTTCCTAGTTGCTTCCATGTAAATTTTACTAGCTGGATATCCACATGGGAACACACTGCTGCTGAAATTTGTTTTGCAGGAGAAAAAAATGGAATGATTGTTTCAAGAGATCTGAAACATGGAGGCTTACTAAATTCACTCCGGCTGGACTTAATTTACTTAGAGGATTATTTATCAATGAGGACGGCCTTCTAGTTTCCCCTCAGTATCATGCACTCTGCAGATTTGACACATGCATTCATAAATGTGAACCACACAGTCTTTAAATGAGTAAATGTTCTGCACCGGCCAGAAGAGTAAGTGTTTTTTTTTAGTACCATGAACACATCACATTATTATTTACATCTGGCAACAACAATAAGATACTCCTACGAACAACCAGGCATTTCATGAAGAAAGAAACAAGAACTCTCATTAAGTCAGATAAGGCGCAAAGGTGTGCAACAATTTCATTAATGTATCAAATGGAGTGGTTCATTCTCTTGCGACGAGATTAATGATCACAAAAAAAAGCACAAATTCTTGGTGACATAATCAAGATATAAAAAAAAAATCATAAATAACAAAAAAACACAAGCCACACACACACACACACACACACACACACACACACACACACACACACACACACACACACACACACACACACACACACACACACACACACACACACACACACACACACACACACACACACACACACACACACACACACACACACACACACACACACACACACACACACACACACACACACACACACACACACACACACACACACACACACACACACGATTCAGAGTAGTGGACGTTATCTGATGAGTGCTGTCATTGTCTTTGACCTCACAAAGGTGCAGTATTCAGAGTTCATTACTTGGTAGAATCATCCCACTCCTCAGACTTCCTCGACAAACAGCAACGACAACAACATGACATGTCATGAATGACCCAATGAAGACGCAGCGATACAGTAGTAGAAATGCTGACGTTTGATTATTATAATTTTTTTTTGGCGACTGGCCCCGTGTGTTAGTGGTCAAGGTAAAAATGGAGAGCAGGAGATAAACTGCACGTTGTTCCCCCGGGTCGTGTGCACGCCTGCTGTGACGGAGGCGAGTCACACAGGTCCCGTTGTACACACTCAGTAGAAAATGGACAATGGATGGACGGATCCCTCGCTCCACTTACTTCCTCCCACTCTCCATGCAGTGCTGGAACTGGGCGAAGCTGAGAAACACCTGCTCCAGTGATATCTGGCTCACGCAGTAGTCTTCAATACGATATTTCTCTTTGGCTGCCTCCAAAGTGCCGAACACCTGAGCGGGCGTAGAGAAAAGGAAGGATAATGTAAGCTGTGATACTGATGCATATCTGGTGAAATCCAAGGCTTTGTGTCAAGAACATACTTTCAAGTTAAATCTTTCTCCTTTGAACACACATTATTTTTCTGACCGTGTGCACACACAGCTTGTCTATCATTTTCTTTCATTCACATTGCTTTTCAGAGCTAACCGTGACACTTAGAAGGATGTTTTTTTCATGTAAAAATAGATAAATGCCCTAACAATGAATCAAATTATTGAATTAGCAGATATGTTGAGGAGGAACTTTGACAACAACAAAAAAAAAAGGATGCAATAGAAAGCATTTCAATCATCGTTGCCCTTAGTGGATGCAATAAACTATTTGTCCACTAGAGGAAGCTCTAACAGCATATTTGCAGAACTGTACTGTTTTCTGTATAGATAAAGTTACCTGGGCCCAAGTAAGTGTTTTGTCAGTCAAATGATAGTGCACCATTCCCTGATGGGCATCCTTCAGTTGACTTCCTGTAGCAGGAGAAAATTCACATGGTTATGTTTTATTTGTTATTCTTTGACGTAATAAGCACTAAAAAGTGTCCTGACTGTTTAACAAAGATCACAAAAAATAATCTTGGAATCTGTAAACTGAATGTGTCTGACCTGGAAAAGTGCTTTCAATGAAGTCTTTAAATAGCAGCAGGTCGCTGTCCTCCAAATCAGCGTCCATGTGGACTTTAGCCAGCAGCGTGTAGCCACTGCCGAACTTGCTCTTAAGGTGTTGAGGACTCCCGAGGCACTTGAACTGACCGTTGACCATCACTGCCAGTCTCGTGCAAAGGGCCTCACACTCCTCCATACTGGTGAGACAGGTAAAGGTATTAATTAGCATCCTCACAACTTCTGTTATGATAGTGGATCTTTAAATAAAATCAGTTGAAGAAAAGAGAATGCAAAATATTTTTGCACTTTTCTTCAGAACTGGAGAAAGAAAGAACACTGCTGATAATCACACAATATGGACTGTAAGGCTCACCTATGAGAAGTGATGATTATTGCCTTTCCAGACTCCCGTGTGCGTGTAACAGCGTCCCACAGCAGCCTTCGGGCCACAGGGTCCATCCCTGTCGAAGGCTCATCCAGGAAGAT